TTGCATGCAATTGTCCAAATGATTAACCAGATACTTCTTTCATGGTTCCTACAATACATTCCTTCATACTTTCCCCATTTCATGGTGTTTTCCTGATGCAAACTTTTTCATTTTTTTCTCTCTTTCATCCAGTGATTCAAGTTAACTATGTCACTTGCAGATTAAGCTGAACAAGGCAGGCATGAATCCTCAGAAGTACTTAGGCAAATGAATAGAAATTAGGATCCTAAGCCATTTTTGGTGATTTAGACCTCAGTCTTAACATTTCTCTTCACCTCCTCAGCAGCTGTTTAGACAAATCAGCCAGGTTTCCTCTCATGTGATGGTAACAGACTGAAATGCATGATTTGTGGCTTTCTGCATTTAGAAGTTAGAAAACAAGAATAATAAAATAAGGAAATGTACCTGTTTAATGATTATTTCTGATATTTGAGGTCTATTATGTGGCTGTTTAATATTCTTTTAACTGTGTACATTTACATATGAAAAACATCTGTGCAATCTCATAATTTTGTATAAAGAATATCAACATGAAATGTATTGATTGATGTCTCATATTAAAACATTTGATCAATGTTCAAAGAGCACGTTTTTCAGAACTTTCACGCACAAGGGTGAGGATGAATTCCAGCTTTGAGTACAAAGCAGAACTTATCACCTTAAATCTGAACACGTACCAAAAATTCCTGTTCTGTACACTGGAGTTTTCTATATCTGAAATACTTTAACTTACCACCGGGACTTTTTTTCCTCATGTTTAGTCAGTATGAGTCTTTTCTAAATTTTTTTTTCATCAATTATTACTATTCAGTCTTACATTTTTTTAAGTAATACTTAACTCAATGTGTGGTTGTTGTTTTCTTCTTCTAAATGAGGAAGGAGAGATGTGTCACAGAAATGCAACATATATACAACAAGTATTTGTAAGATGTTTTTCAATAATGTGGAACAATTTCCTATACAAGCTAACACAGAATTTGAGTGTAGAATAGGATTTTTACTAATCCAAATTGTACTTCTGAGTATTCTGAGTTATTCCTCTTCTCTTTTCTTTTCTGGAATATATGCTTACTATCACATCTTCTTGTAGAGCTTCTGCTTCAAAAACATAATGCATAATCAGTTTGATTATGTGACAAGCCGTTTCATCCTTTTTTCATCCTTTTTTCAGTGTTTTCCTTTTTTTTTTTTTTTTTTGCCAGGCAATTTTCTAGGTCATGTTTGCATTACGTCTTCCTTTTAAAAAAAATCAGAGATATTTTCAGTGGAATTTCTTTCAGCAAGCAATTACATTCATTGTTTGAAGAGCTAATTTTGATGATATTTCTAAATAATTAGCTTCCTTTTTCTTCAGAAAATCAGAAATACATTTAAGCAGTGGGAATGTAAAGCATTTATAGAATATTTAAAACATATTCTTCAAGAAAACAGGAAATAGCTATCATTAACATTTGTTCAGTTCAGTATCTTTCACCAGCATCATTCAACTTTCAGTCTTCAACAAGATGAATTACAGGAGAAATTATGTCTAAAAATTTATTCCAAACATTTAATATGAACTCTATTCAACTGATAACATCTACTTTTTTTATCTTGAGATTTGAATTTGAAAAGGATTCACAGGCTTACATTATACTCAAGATACAGTGGCAAACTTTATCTTTTGTTGAATGTAGGACCAACAATTCCAGAATCAGTCAACAGCAGTTAAACATGAATCTTAGGAAAATGAAGTCTGAACACAGAATTGTAATGGATCCATTCAGTAACATCAGGAATTACACTTATTCTTGATCACACTTTTGGCACTGAGTCTGATATATGTAGGTTCAAGGGAACGCAATCCCATTAAGAAGTTGGTTAGTAAACCCAAGAATTAGCATTCCACATGCACTGACGTTCCTTCAGAAGTGGATAACATAGATGGAAAAGAAGGAAAAGTCTGAATTTGTACTTAAGATCTATATGGCAACTGAATTGTTACTAGGTGTTGCACAGGTAAGGCCTGTGAAGATGCCAAATAATTCAAAAATATCTTTATGTTTGGTCACTGTTTCTTATTTATTTTGTCAGTGCTCTGGCTCTTATCTGTCAGTTGAAGCCCGGGCCCTCTAGGAGCCATCAGAAGTGTCCCAACTGTGGAATCCAATTTCCAAAAGTTCTAAACTTTGCAGTCACAGACAAAGCTGATGGGTGCTGGGAGTGGTTAGCCCACCCTCCTGGAAACCACATACGTGTTTCATATTGGTCACTTCCTCACTGAAGAACTACTGCACTTCTGATAAGAAATCATGCCCTGGGAAGAAATTGTAGTTTGGAAGAGGAATATAGTAACACCCTTCTGCCTGACAGTGATATTATAAAGAAAATTATAATACATACAGTTTTCCTGACATTCAGGCACTCTGGTAGTTGAAATCAAAATGAGGCCTATTTCCACAATATAACTAACGATGAGAAAATGAAATGTGAAGAGTGAAGAGCTTGGTGAAGAGCTGCCTCATTCAAGTACTATTCACCCAGGTTGCTATTGAAGGGAAGCAAACTCTAGGGTAAAAATAGCAGGCAGTAATTTGAGTATGAGGTAACTTTGTTAATGATTAGTTTGTAAGGCATGTATACAACGAAGACAAACAAAGACAGGTTAAGTTCAACAACCACAAGAACAACTAGAGTGCTAGCTGAAAAATACTTGGCTTTGCTAGTTTAATAATGCTTAAATCTGTAGAATTAGACTGCATATAATATAAACTTTAAACCTAACATGATTGCTGCTTTACACAGTATCTTGCAGAATGACCTGTCCCATTATTAGACGTGGCTTTGCACCAACGTACTGAAAACCAGATTTCTTCTCAACATGTATTCAGTTAACAATCATGCCAGAAGATTTACACCAAAGGGGGGTGGGGAGGAGTGGGAAAGAAAAAATATTTTTATATATATTTCTGAAATGTGAGGAAGTTATTTTCTGGGAAGGAAAACAGCAAGGGCAGATTTGGATTCAGTAGGGAAACTGATATGAATGAAGAGTGGCAATTGATAACAAGCCTAGAACACATCCTTTTCGTCCCTTGTAACATCACTGACTGCCAGCACTACTTCCTTACAAAGTATATGTTCCTAAATGCATATTGGCTCTGCTACAGTTATACGTCATTCTAAATTTGTCATATGCTATTTTATAGATGTTTCAGTTTTCAGGCATAAAAGAAGAGCCTTTAACTTAAGAATACACACACACACACACCCCAAGAAAAGCTTCCTGGCTTAGACGAAAGGCTCAACAACTATTGAGAATGAAGACTTGGTCAGATGCATGAATTACTGAAAGTATGGAAGAAAATGGGCATGTTTAGGCTGATCTGAACTGAGATGGCCAAAGCTTGCATTGCTTTTTAGTAATAACTCCGCAGTCCTGTTACAGTACTCCCCCAGGACTTGTAAGACCAAATTCTGTGCTGATTTATTCCATTTAGGGGACATCATCAGCAGGAAACTTTTCACGTCACAGAGGGATCCCCAACCCAAAGGTGTCTTGGAAAACATTATGCCTATGTCCACAACTGCAGCCAGACCCAGCTTCATTCCCACAACAGCAAACATAACTTCAGCTTTTTGGCAAAGCCTGACCTCCTCCTGCCAGAGCCCCAACTCCAGCCTTGTCAGGGCACACTGAAAGGGGGCTGCTGTGCAATTTGGCTGCTATGTAACCATTCTCCAGATGGCACTTGTCCATTAAAGCATGCTTTGATGACTGGATCCATGAATTTTGTACAGAGACATTTCTTCTCTTAGCAGCCAACATTTCTTGTTGTATCTTGTTTCTGATCAGGCACAGCTTCCCTCCTCTTGCTCTCACTGGGAAAAGCTATGACCAGCTGCAACATTTTTGTGCCAGGTTGCCATGCTGCTGCCAGCCAGTACCCGTGAACATGCAGGCATACTGGGAGAGAAATGCCATGCAGGAGTGGTTTAAGGTCCAGAGGATTCGGTGTGCAGTGCAGAGGCTGCTTCCCCTGCACACCTGCTCCTTTGCCTTCTGCTGCTTCTTTTCCCACTTGACTTCCCTCTGCACAGCCAGGAGAGCTGTCTGCTCCCTCCACCACAGGCTTCCCAGCTTTGCCTGTTCAGAGCAGCTTTTATTATTCCAGGATATTGCAGGCACTCCTTGGGGAAAGGAGGCACAGGACATCTGTTGGCATTCACAGAATCACAGAATGGTTTGGGTTGGAAGGGCCCTCAAAGCCCACCTATCCCTACCCTCCTGCTGTGAGCAGGGCTGCCTCCCACCAGCTCAGCTGCCCAGGGCCCCATCCAACCTGGCCTTGAGTGCCTCCAGGGATGGGGCACCACAGCTTCTCTGGGCAGCTGTGCCATTGCCCTCTGAGGACATAATTTTTTTTCCTAAAATCAAATCTAAATTTCTGCTCTTATAGTTTAAATGGTTCCTCATTGGCTGAGTACTTCAGGTTCACAATCTTCTCAACGCTTCACTAAACATGGGAACACTGGACAAACATAAATTTTTGCTGCATAAGCGTAAATCTGTAGTTAATTAACTTATTCCACATCTGATCATTATTTTGCAGATATCTGCTTGTCCTTCTTTCTACAAAGATAAGCTTGGGAGAGAGGCAGGGGAGTATCCTGGTGCCTGCCTTCACACCCCAACCTTCTCACAGAGTGAGACAGTTCAGCCTTGTGTAGAGGCCCTAACTTCTTTGATGTTTGCTAAATCTGTCTTTCTTTTGCTGAGAGTTTCTTATCCTAACAGAGCAGCTCTACAATATGTTTGCTAATCCTTAGCACACTATCCTCGCATTGTTTGGAAAATTTAACAACTATTACAGTTTTGCAAGAAAGAATTAATCACATAATTCAGTAATAATGTTTCTAAAACAGGCCGCTAACATATACAGTATTTTACTTCTTAGATCAACTATTTCTAAGGATAAGTTACAAAATACAAATGCATTATGTTCTACTTCTTCAAACCAATTGCTACTTTTTAATATCAAATGCAGAAACAACATTCCATTCCCACAGGAGCAGGAAGCAACTTCTAACATCCAAAATGTGAAATATTGGGTGGATACTTCACAAAAGCATCTGAAACCATTCTGAGAGGGGTAATCAGAAGGTGGCAAGCTAATAAACAAATTGCCAAACAAGAAAAAAAGAAACCTCTGCCCTCCTTGCACCCAATCTCATTTGTGATTAACGTAGCTATCTTCTGTCTGTAAGAAACATGCGTTCATTGAACGAAAGCCTTCAGCCCTACTAATCCCTTTTGCATTTCGGTGTACAAGCAGCCACAGCACCTGGATGCAAACGGTCGAAAGCAAACAGAAACAAAACGAGAAAAGTTTTAAACTCTCACAATGCCGCAGGAACCAGGGAGTGTTTGAAGACAGGCACAGAAAACAAAAAAAGAACTTTCTTTTCCCTTGTGTTTATGCCTCATTTCCATGCCTGCCGCCAATCTGACCGGGGAGGGCCCAGCACTCTGCCAGCTTTACGAGGAACGCCGGCCCGGCTCGCCCGCACGGCCGCAACGCCAGCGCCGCCATCCGCGCAGGCCCGGGGAGGCCACCGCAACATGGCGACGGGTCGTTGCTATAGGAACTGCGCCATGCTGCGCACGTGGGCGGCGGGGAAAGATGGCGGCGCCCGTCTCCGTCTGCCATGTCGCCTGCTGCGCCAACCGGGTGGGCGGCGGGGCCGTATCCTGGGGCCGCGAGGGGCTCCTCGCCTTCGGCAGCTGCCGGGACGTCATGCTCTACCAGCCGGCGGTAAGCGGGGCGGGGAGGGGCGGTGGGGGCCGGCCTGGCGGCGGTGCGGCCTGACGCCGGCTGTTTCTCCTCATCCCGCAGGCCAGGCGGATGGTGGCGGCGCTCCGCGGGCACGGCGGCAGGGTGAGCTGCGTGCGCTGGGCACGGCGGCGGGACGGCGGTAAGTAGGTGGGGTGGGCGGCCTGCGGGGCCCTTGTGGTAATTCCGGGTTTTAAAGTTATTGAGTGAAGTTCTTGAAGGCACGTGTTCTTGTCTTTAAGCTTGTAGATAGCTTCCTGAGGAAAGAAAGTGGGGGTGCTCGTCAGACTGTTATTGTATAGTGCCCACGTTTGGTTTTTTTGGGGGGAGTGTTGCTAAGCACTAAAGTGAAGCCATTCCTCCTTAATAATGATATAAACTGGCATCCTTTCAAATGGTTGCACTTACATGTTTTCTTCCCAACTGTTTTTTTTTTTTTTTTTTTTTCTATATTATTACTATTATTTGTGCCTGTATGTGTATCTTTTCTTGTTGTGTGGTTTTTAAGTAAAACAAATCGTTTTCTGAGAACTGGGAAAAATATAAAGGTTAGAAGAGAACTCTAAGATCATTTAGTCCCGCTGTCAGCCCATCCCCTCTGTCCCCACTGCCCATGTCCCAGTGCCCCATCTTCGTGTTTCTTGAACACCACCACCCTGGGCAGCTTGTGCCTTACTGTTCTTTTTGAGAAAAAATTTTCCCTAATATGCAGTCTGAACCTTTCCAAGTGCAACTTGAGGCCATTCCCTCTTGTCTTATACTAGTTATGCAGGAGAAGATGCTGACCTCCAGCTTGCTGCCACCTCCTTTCATGTCATACTTCTGTGATAAGGTCTCCCCTGAGCCTCCTTTTCTCTAAGCTGAACAATCCCATTTCCCTCAGCTGGGGAGAACTTGTGCTCTGGACTCCACAACAGCTTTGTTGCCCTTCTCTGAACACGTTCCAGGGCCTTGGTGTCTTTCTTGTAGTGAGGGGCCCAAAGCTAAATGCAGTACTCAAGATGCTGCCTCATCAGAGCTGAGTACAGGAGGGATGATCACCTCTCTGCTCCTTCTGGCTGCACTACTTTTGACACAAGTCAGGATGCCATTGGCCTTCTTGGCCACCTGAGCACGCTGCTGTTCAACTGAGTGTAGACCAGTACTCCCAGATCCTTTTCCTCTATGCAGCTTTCTAGCCACTTGCCCCAAGCCTGCAGTATTGCATGGAATTGTTGCGAGCAAAGTGCAGGATCTGGCACTTGGTCTTGTTAAAGCTCATACAGCCTGAAATTAAGTTTTCATGTGAAGGTTCATATTCTGTGAGGTCATAATTTTCTTGCTTTCTTGTTTTATTTATTTATTTTTTCCTGTCCCTCAAAAAGACAAACATATTAAATTACTCTGTTGCATTTGATAATCTTTTTAGAAAGATATCCATCATATCCATATGAAATGTTAAGTATTTCTATAATTCTTCTCTACCTTTTGACTAATTCCCTTGCTCTTGAGCTCTCATGTACTGTGCAACTTTCATGGCTCATACTGTTTTTTAATGGTAACTTTTCTATAATTGATAACCGTGATAAGTATGTAAGTAGCAAACAATTTAACTGCTTTGTGTTACTGACTGCTGTTACAAAGTAAGAGCTCACAAAAGTTGTGGAATGTGTTTTTTTAGCAACTGAAACAGAGTTAGTTTCTGGTGCATCTGATAAAAAGCTCATTCTCTGGGAGTGGAATGGGACAGGAGTTTGGAATGATCAGGTAAGTAGAAATATTCTCCTTTTAAAGCTTTTTTTTTATTCCACCCTTCTTCCTTGTTTTTTTTTTTTTGTATGCCTCAAATCATCTGTTATTTGTCTTCCTGTAGTTTTTTTGCCTCTTCATTGTACTATGACTGTTGAAGCTCCATGTGCATCTCCTCCAGACTGCTGATGCTACATCATGCTATGATTTGGCCTAAAAGTTGTTTCTTTTCTTCTGTAGTTAATCTTTTTTTGAAATCAGCTAACCAGTCGTCATGTGGATTTGTTTAGCCTGTCTAAAATATCCTATTTGTCTGATTCCAAGTCTTCAACTTTCTCCTAACTTTTCTTTAAACTACCTGAAAATCTTGATACCTTGAAGTTCATTTTTTAGTATGTGTTTTCTGTGCCCTTCTTTCTAATTTCTTTACATTGATTTTTTTTAGTGGTTTCTGATCAATCTGCATGACAGCGTTTATACACAGGCAGACTAACAAGGATGATACATGAAGTAGGATAGGTATTTAAAAAAATACTTGTGCAGCAGTTGATTTCAGTCAAAAATGTTGAGACAAGTAAAAAGGCTTGCTTATTTATCACTTGCACCATAAAAATGGAAGGAAGAAGATGAAGTATGGCGTAACAGACTTCAGAATGAAATTTAGAAAAAGGTGTATTATGTAACTTATTTTTAAAATATTGCTTATTAAACACTGTCTTGTGAATGGCTGTGTAGATAACCCATTTCAGAGGCTATCTCAGACTACTTTTGACTGTGTTTTAAAATGTGTGAACATAGTAATGCACTGGGGGAAAGTGCCCATACAGTAATCATTATCAGTCTTGTTTATTGGAGGAATTTCTTGGAAACAAGTAATTTCTTTTTCTCATCTGTTGTATTTTGATGATTTTGATGTAAAATAATGTACTGATTTATTTAGTAGCTTCTTCCATTAATGTGCACAGCCTCATTTAAACCTTTGAAAAAGAATGTGACTAAATTTGCACATTTAAATGACAGTTCTATACTAGTGTACATTAAACAAGCAAAGATCTGTATTGAACCAATTAGAAATGTTACTAGGGCTTACCAAGCTATCTTTTGGAAAGTGATGACAATTTGGATAAAAGCTAGACTTCTTTTAGTTTGAGAATTAAAAGCTTCTCATTTTGCTATTTCTGTTTATGTGGAGCGTATTACAAAATATTAATTCCCTTAGAAACTTAAGTCTAAATTCAGAGGTTTGGGTTTTGTCAGTATTTTAAAGAAGTCTTTGATTTGTGAAAGCCCATGAAACAGAACTGCTGTAGCTGCTACTTATTCCATTGTGTTCTCTATTTTGCCTAATTTGCTAAGGTTCTCTGGACTCCTGGGAGATGTCCTGTATGCTTAGGTGCACAAGAATGAGACAAAGGAAGAAAAACTGCTCACCCTAACCTAACTTCTATCATATTTCCAGGCAGTCTCAAGGAAGGGTGAAGTTTTTCTAGTACACACAAGAGAACTTGTCAAGTTCATGCTCACTACTGCTGTATCCTCCCTGTTTTTTATAGAATGTGTTATAGCTTAAGCATAACTTGGCAGAAGCTCCACCACCATAGACATACAATTTGTTTTCAGTACCAAGGTTGTTGTTCTTTTTTTTTTCCCCTCCTTTCTTTAAAATGTTTTTAAAAGTTCTCATGGATAATTTGCTGGAGTTTAATTGTGCTTGTTTGTTTGACTCTGTAAAACTTTATGTTTTCAGCTTGTAAAAAGCATTCCTCTCGAAGGCCATACTGAAGCTGTTTGTGCTGTAGATGCTATCTACCAGTCAGATGAACCTGATTTAAATCTGTTAATAGCTTCTGCGGCATCTGACTCTACTGTGAGAATCTGGTCTCGACATGATTCAGAAGGTAGGGTTTTTGTTTTTTGTTTTTTTTTCTTTTAAATTTAGGGACAATGTTTTGTTTTTTAATTGAAAGACAACATGCTGACTTAATAAAAATGATGAATGCTCATCCATTGAAGTACTTGGCTAAATACGAACATCTTCTAATGCAACCACACTGATTTCCCTTCAAGCTTTGGTCTCAACTGCACTGTTTTTTTTGAAAGCTGGGGGCTATAGAAGCTTAACGGCTTTGGGTCAAATTTGTTCCTCCGAATGACTTATCTCTGTTTTTTATCAGTGATGAGTTGGCTGAACTTAACAGTCTCTTTTTGATTTGTATTCAGAATCTGATAATCGTTTTTCCTTGTAACATGGGGACAAGCTAGCACTGTGTGTGCTTATGTAAAATAAAATTACTTTGTAGAATGAAGCTGGAATGAGAAAAGTGAAGTTAAACTAGTCACTTGTTACTACTGACTTGAGTCCAATGAAATATAGGGTAGTAGGTCTTCTTTTGAAGTAGGCCTATTGTATGGTCAAAGAGAATAATTAGGATAGATAATCTAGATATAAAGTGTTACTTGTCGAGTTGTGTTGACTACATCTCTCCCTACTTTCTTTGCTATCTGGTGTACTGAGGATTTCGCATTGGCTTATTGAGTGAGATAAGTAGTTGGGAGTTGCCAGTCTTCAGCCCCATGTTCTAGAAGGCATTTCTCATTCTCCCAGAGGACACCCTGATGTCCTATAAGGATAGGACCTTCCTAAGACCAATCATTTTGGTCTTGCTGTTGTGGGTTTCAGAGGCAGAAAAAAGAATTTCTTTTTAATTCTACTTCTGTAGGAAAGTTGTTCTGCCATCCTGTTTGTTACCGTATATCTTGGTGGCTCTCCAGTTTAATCGCTTCCTAGGATCTCAAGGATGATAAGAGGAAGGCTGGATTTGCTCCTATCTTTGTCTGCTTTTGTAGCAAAGAATTCAGTTTTAGCTTTCTGTGCAGTGAATGCTTTTGCTATTGGATGTAATTTGAAATATTTATTGCTTCTGATGTGTTACTGGAGGGAGCTGCACAGCTTTAATACTTGATGGAAAATAGTGACTTATGTTGTAATTTGGCTAACTCTGGACGGATTGTCATGAGCCCACAAAAGATGAAATTGAGGGTAGTTTTCCCTCTAAAAATCAATGGCTTCTGAAAAAAAAAGTCTTGCAGCTCCTTAAAATAAAATTGAACAGGAAATTTTAACTACATTATATAAAAAGAGATGGCAATGTAACTGTGGTACAATGAATGAGTTCAACAGTGTCTGTTCTCATTTTTCAGTTAAATGCATTGAAGTTCTGCAATTTGGAAATGGATTTGTTATGGATGTTTCCTTATCCTTCTTGCCTGGCAGCAATGGTAAGTAAGGACAGCAGCATATCTTGAATATCAATGCAGGAAAAAAATAAAATCTAAAATTTCCCACATGTGTAGCAGGTTTTCATTTAACCAACTCCAGACTCCTGTGCCATATATTTTTGTTTCCTAGGGAATTAGCCTAAACTTCTGCCTGTACTCAAAGACTTCAGCTGAATTTTTCTAGGCAATTAGAATAATACTGTCTGACTGTGGCATTTTCAAAGTGGTGCTCAAAATTCATTTGTTAAAGTACTGTTAATGACGTTTTTTTAAATGAAGTAGCTGACTTTAGTGAAACTTGGCGTTTTGTTATCTGCCCTTACTTGAGAAATCCAATTGTCAAGGCCTCGTAACTCGTTTCTTCATAATTCTTTAATTTGTTCCTTTTCTTTTACTATTCCAGTCCCTTGCAATACTACTTCATCTTTAAGATCTAAAAGGACCGGAGCAAGTGTTAACTATTTTTCTCCAGCATCTTCTACCTACCTTCTTGCATTTTTCCCTCGGTCTTAACTTTGTTGTGCTCGAGTCAACAGAGCTATGTTTTTTGTTCACTTCCTAGATAGCTTCTACAAGCTATCTACTGCTCAAAACTTGAGTAGACATGTAACAATGCTCTCATATTCTTGCATGTAGTAAATCTGTCTTCGTTCTTATTTGCTGTATAATAATTGTGTCCATCCATACACTCATTTCAGTTGATCGAGGACTCAAGCTGTTTTAGTTGTCACTCATTTTGTTTTGCTACTCACTCATTTTCTATTTAGAGCAAACACTGTTTATTTGTATCCATTTTATTGCTATCAACACAAATCTCTGACGCTTGAGCTTTCTGGAGATGTGTAAGCATGAAGAAAACTACTCAAATTAAACACCTGGAGATATCAGTTATGTGCCAAAAGAACTTCTGAGTTTTGTGTTCCTGAAATACCAGATGTTCTTTCATACAGTATTAGTTATCTGATTTAGAATACATTAAAAAAATGGTATCTTGTCCCACTATACATTTGTATTGTTTTATTGCTTTTTCTTATTTATGTTATTTCTCATATCCTAGAACACTAAGTTTTGTAAATTTAGTAATGAAGACTTTTTTCCCTCATTTTCAGTACCAATACTGGCTTGTGGTGGTGATGACTGCAAAATAAATTTGTTTATACAGCAGAATGGTCAGGTAATTACAGCTTTTTGTCTCTTGCTTTGAACATTACACAGTACCACTTCTTATATGTATTTTGTTTTTTAATTTCTTCAGTGACTATTATCTGCCTCCAGATAACAATCGCACACAACCTCCTCTGTTCAAATAATTAATTCATTTTCCAGGTAATGATGAAATTCTTGTACAGAATGTTCAACCCGTATCCAGTAAAAGTGTTATTCCTCCTAATATTTCCCTATGTGATGAAGCCTTTAGTTTTTGTTCCCCCTGACAAGGAATAGTTACGACTGTCCCTGATTACTCAGTATCCATGCGCTGAGTGTTTCATATGAAAATGATGAGGGTTTTTTTCAGTCTGTGAATTGTTGCAGTAAAGCTGATATTTCCATCTATAGAATTGTATTTTTGTTGTTAAGTATGCTGCTAGTGCTGGATGTTTCTGAATGACTAAACAAGTATTTGAAATGATACCTGATATTCTCTTGGCATACACGTTTTTCATGTATTACTTGGAAGCTGACAATACTTAGTCTTCCATATAGTTAAGTGTTCCTTCTGGTGCACTACAAATGCATCTGTTCAGCAGTTTTGTTAGACCCTAAAGAATGTATTGCATGACTGTCTTCCAAACCAGAGGTCAGTGACTCTTCTTCTTATCAGTCCCTTTAAAAAAAAAAAGTTTAACAACCAGGAACCCTCCTCCGAAGCACAGATGAACTTACCAATCAAAAACCTTAACTTAAGAAACCAACATAAATAGGAACTACTCATTTTTCTGCTCAAATACAGTCCTCTAAGGATTTTTGAAGAATAGGCCTTTTGAGACAGATTAAGCTACCTATAGGTTATTCTGTCTGTTCAGGCAGTTATATACAAGAAGACTTACTTTTTGTCAATAAAAGAAATGCTTCATCCTTTTATTTCTTGCGCTCAATGATATCTTTACTGCTAACCAGGAAAATTGAGTCAGTTTCTAAGTTTTGGTTTTTGTTTTTTCCCCTAGTATGTAGCTTATGAGTTAAATCAGTTTAATGACATTCTCTAAGAACTAGCAATGGCAGAAGAAAGATACGTACATCAGGTGGTGTGCAGCTAATTTTTGTATTTACAGTTTGAATTTATTTTTTTTTGTATGTCCCAGATCAGCAAACAATATGCAATTTGGCTGTCCAAAATATTTATAGATACATAAATTATTTTGCCAGTTGCTGTATGCCTTTTGAGGATAACAGCATTCTTAATTGCAGTCTGTGAATGGGTTGAGGAAGGTAACTGAAATAAGTGAAATCTTCAGTTTCATGTAAGCAAGTTTATAATGCTCAATGTCATTTTTGGATGTAGGAAACATTATTCATGTAAAAGGTGTGGAATTGTGTTGACTTCTTTGTTTTCTTTTTCCCCTCACACCTTCAATTCTGTGAAGTATTTTCACCTACCAGCTACCTTGGCAGAGATGGAATTTATAGTCAGTCTCTGTCCCTTTCTCTCAGTGAGGTGAGACTTCTGTTTGGTGTCTGTCTTAACTTCCTGAAACGTGGCTGTGAAGTGAAAAGCACATATTTGATTCCATTTAGATTAAAAATGCCTGTATGGTACACTACAGCTATTAACAGAATGAAAACATCCTTGGAGTTTCCTGCCGTAAATTCCTTCCTGGCTGCTAAAGGGAGATTCTCCTCTTCAGTCAGATTCTCTGAGATCTGCTGACATCTTTTATGGCCTCTGCAGCAATTTTTTTAGAGTTATTTGAAGGAAGTGTTGTTATTGTCCTGACACTTTTCAGCAGAACTTGATGTTGGAGAGAAGTTAGAACCTGAACTTCTACATTCTTTCTGTGCTGGTAAGGTCCCATAGCTCAGCTCTGTTAATTTTAGAAATCTTAAGTAAGACTGCGAGTGCAAAGGTACAATGTGAATTGGCAGTGGGACATACTAATGAAACTCCGATGGCATTTTGTAGTCAGAGGAAGGGTGAGACATCTTCAGGTTATTTTTCTTAGCTGAGTCAGGCTGCTTTTTGGGTAATCCCACAACTTTGATGCTGAAATATCATTATTTGTAAAAACTGCTTGATTTTTGAAATTGGGTGGATGAACTTCAGGCCTTTTTAGGATCCTCTGCTTGGACATCCCTTAGAGTGTTTAGAGAAAGAAAACAATCTCTTTGCTTTTCTGAGTTCCTGAAAGAGGCTATTGATTTATAAAAGTACTCAGGGAAAAATCTTTCAGAAATCATTTTATGTCTTCCTGCTTGAGATATTATGGTCCTGTGAAGGGGAAGCAAAGCAAACCATACTATCAAAATAAGAGCTTTAAGATGATGCCCATATATTGAGCTTGGCTGTTGTAAGAAAATTTTGTTGTGCATATTTAGTGTTTTCCCTCAAATAATTTGCTTTGGTTGAAAAGTGAAGTAAGAGAGCCAAAGATAATTTGGGTTCTTTCTAATTCTAAGAAGACTGTCGGCTAGATAGAGGAGGTAAATCACATCTACTGTCTGGCAAAGAAAGACTTGGACTTCTGCAGCCTCTTAGACTATCACTGGGCACCACTGAAAAGAGGCTGCCCTCATCTTCTTTGCACCCTCCCTTACAGTACTTGTATACACTGAGGTTTCCTGCTCTGTCCCAGCTCTCTTGGCCTTTCCTCGCTGAGGAGGTGCACCAGTCCCTTAATCATCTTTGTCACCCATTGTTGGGTTCTCTCTAGGAGTTCCATGACTCTCTTGTACTTAGGAGCTCAGAACTGGGCGTAGTTCTCCAGGTGTAGTTTCACTGGTACTGAGTAGAGGGGAGGGATCACCTCGTGAACCTGCTCACCATACTTTGCCTAATGCAGCCCAGAGTACCATTAGCTTTCTTAGAGGCAAGGGTGTACTGGTAATTCATGTTCATTTGGTGTCCACCAGGACCCCCAGGTCCTTTCTGGTTGAGCACATTCTGGAGCCTGGTTTTATTCCTCTCCAGACTTTGCACTTTCCCTTTTTGACATTGTTGAGGTACTTGTCAGCCCTTTCCTCCAGTCTGTAAAATGGGAATATTCCACCTGTTACAAATAAAAGTGTACTACTAATGAAATTTGTCAAAGGGTAATCTGGGCTATGTTATTGTCACTGTAAATATCAACTGTGTTGAGATTCTGTTTATGAAGAGGTATCTATCCACAGATGCAGTACAACATCCTTTGAAGCTTAGTTAATAAACTTGAGAGGTAGGGAATGTTTCTGGTCTCTTATGTAATTCTTATGGTATCATATTCAAAGTTAATTATGGAAATAAATTTTGGCACATCTGTACTTTTTATGCTCAATTTTTACCAATATTAATTTTTTTGCATTACCTGAAGTTGCATCTGCTTTGCATCATTATTTACTGTGTCATCTACATAGTGGTAAACAAACAATAACACAATAAGCATGATTTATATAAAATAAATAACAAGCAATCATTGTCATAGAGAGTCTGTAGCATCTTGGAGGTGAGTTCTGCTGGTGAATGACGAGTGGCATAATGGAATGTGTTCATGCAATGATAACAAAACCAGGAAAGCCCATTTAGAAAATGTCAGTAAATAACAATATTTAATAGCAGCTTCTTTTTTTTTCCAATTTCAAATAATAGAAACTGTAAATATAGACAAACTTGAAAGCTAATTGGCCGTATGTGCATAATAATTGAGTACTTTTCTGTATGATGTAACAGGTATTTTCATTCAGTTTCAGAAAACAGTAATACTCCCTGGCCACGAAGATTGGATAAGAGGCGTTGAATGGGCAATCTGTGGTCAGTATGAAAGATGTATGAAGTGAAATATTTAGTACCACTGCTGCTGTTTTACAACTCCAGCTGATGTTTTTGGCATACTGTGGCTTCTAAGCTCATGTGGTTATGCATTTTTTTCCTTAGGTCGTGATACAAATGTTAAAAATCAAGGTAGAATTTTGTGTCTTGTTAAAAACATAAGAATTGTTGAACCAATACCACAATTATTTATCACGTTACCAGCATTGCCATACAGTAAGATTGATGCAGAACATACTTGAGTTTACATCTCTCATTTTATTTTGATTACTTCAAGCCTGTTTACCTAACTGCTGCCTAATGCAAATAGGAGCTTTAGGGATTTGTCCTCAGTATGACAATATCTGTTTCTGAGTGAGAAATAGTTTGCCTCTTGTTCAGGACAGAAAAGTAGTACTTTTCTTCTTTCTCCTAGTGTGTAGTGGTGGCTTTTTTTTTTTTTTTTTTCTGTAAGAATAGGAGATTGAGGAGAACCTATGTAAATGTTATCAAATATTTATTTGGACAAAGTAAAATAGAAAGTATTAGAGGAATCTATAATCCCGAAGGAATAGAGAGAGGAAAGAAGTTCTTGAAAGTATTAGATTGCTCGTTATCAGAAATTTGGATAATAAAGGCCATAAGTAACAGGGAAGCATATTTGTGGTATTTAGCACAGTGTTTCTAACAGGCAGGGAAATGTTCATTGTCAGTATGATCTAAACTAGTGGAGAGCTTGAAATGTTAAAATGAGTTGATGTTGAAATTAAACAGCAGTGTTTATGATATGTGTGCAGTGTGCAGAATAAGGGTAATATTGTAATGAATATTCAGAGAGATGATAAGTTAGTCATGGTATTTATTTATTGCAGTGAAAATATGGCTTTTTTTTTAGATTATTTTTTTTTTAAACCAAATAGGTGATGATCTATTCTTAGCAAGCTGTGCTCAGGATTGTTTGATAAGAATTTGGAAAGTGTGTACTAAATCAAAGCAGTTTTCAGAAATTGAAGATCATTCTATCAGACTGAAAGAGAATGTTTTTACTGTTAAAGGTAGGTAAAAGCTGTAAAATTCTCTTTTACAACTGTTGTATATCTGGTGGTGGTTTTGGGAGGGTTGTCAAGGGGATTACTGTCTCATCTCTTTTGTTTCTCATATTTGAAATAATCAGAAACCAATTCAACTGCATTATTTTGTTCAGCTATTAGAAAAAGTTGAGTTGCTGTTTTAAAACAGCAAATATATAAAAAGTTAACGATGTGTTACAAAAATGATGAAGTGGTGAGAAAACCTAGTATCAACCTGTGTTGTTACATGTATTCTAAAAGCATGACATAGTCATGCAATACATTTGTCTGCGGAAAATATGCTGTTATGTAGTTCCCCTCCAGCTTACTAACGTATTTTAAATTCAGCGCTTTAAAAACATTGAATACTTAAACCTTAGCAATCTGTTGGAGAGAACAGATAAATATGTGCAGGTTTGCCTTGTGTTTATTTAATGTACAGTTTGAGCATTCTAAAGTCAAAGCTTGCAATTTTGACATTAGGAAGCATGGTTTGTATGATGATGTATGTAGAAATCGCTCATGACACTTGCTACAAATCCTAATTCATTGTTGCATTTGCAATAATTTGGAGATGTAAATATGTCTAAGTGTATGGGCACAGCTGATATTGGACGATTTATTTCAGAATTCCTTGAGAACTCTTCAGGACTTCTGTGATGCCACTGTGAGGCAATAGATGTCCTGTTACTGTCAACATGATATGCAGGCCTTGTGGCGAAGTACGTTTTCAAGGATCTTTTCAATGCCAATAGGCTATTGAGATGGTGATAAATAATGAAAGCAGTTGATTTATCATTGAAGATATCAGAAATGGTCTGTTTTTTTTTTTCTTGGTTTTTAGAAAGAAATGTACTTTTCTCTGATTTGTGGTAGATACTGATACAACATACGCAATTACTTTGGAGTCTGTGCTGGCTGGCCATGAAAACTGGGTGTATGCAGTCCACTGGCAGCCTTCCTTTTCCAAAGGTAAGCTGTTACCAAGCACCCTAGCATTAGTTATGCTAAGCATTGTATATATGAAATACAGTCACATCTGTTTATTGTGTTCGCATGTGCACTTCTCACTGTGGATTACAAAAATGTTTAAATTTTTTAACTGATGTTTTTCAAGTAAACATATATTTTGCTGAATGTGCTACAATAGCAATTTTACAGCACAGGATCTCTCTATTGCCTAATACTGTCTTTCACTTACGTTTTCTTTTATGAATGAAATAACAAAGCTGCGCTTGCTTTATTGTGATTTCCTGCTTACGTAATAGGAAACACACAATTACATAATCATGCATTAGCAGCTCTAATGTTTTCTTTTGTTATATACATTTGAAATGCATGTTCTTTGGAAGGACAGTGTTAACTTGAATGCTCCTTTCTTCTTCTTAGACTAGAAAGGAACGAATAGCAACATTTGGAAGATGAATCTTCAGTCTTCCATGCATTAACTTAACATGCCACGAATTCTTGAGTATCAGGTTCCTTTAGCTAGCACGTAGCTTTAAGGCATTAATGTGGACTCTCATTGAAGATTGTTCTTTAATTTTACACCTTGCTCTAGTCTTTTATTATTATTTTAATCATTAAATTCTGACAGCCTTGTTTGTGGTATTGATTTGTTGGTGCATGTCTGCCTGGTGTGTAAGGCAATCAGATTCTCAGTTTGATGTGTCTGTACTATCAAAAAACCCTTGTGGATCTGTTGTTTGCAGACCTACCTTTTCTTTTCTTTAGTTTGTTATATCCCTACCTTTTTTTTTTCTTTTGGACAGCAGTACAAGAATTTGCCTCTTAAATCAAGATTTATACAAAACGTAGGCTTGTAAATCTTTCCTTGCATTAAAAAAATTGTTTTATTGTTAGATGATGTTTTCCAGATACCTTGTATCACGCTTCTGCATACATACAGCTGCTTGTGTTATGTGGCCCTTTCCAGTCGTAGGTACTCTGAAATAGATCTTTATGTTTGCTAGAGGCAGGCTGATTGGAGAGATGTATTTCAGGCGCCGCTTATCATTTCTTAATGTCGAACATAGAAGATCTGGTACTGACATAAGATACTGCCTCAGAAGATGCCCACTGATGTTTTTAGGCTCCTCAAAACAGTTCTCCTAGGAACTTACCCAGTGGGCACCCTCTTTCCACTCTGACTGTGTTGGGCTATGGCCTTGAGAGTTTCATTGTGTTTTGGGGAGCTATTCATGCTGCTATACTAGTGTCTTATTAAATCCATAAATGTAAAGCTGAGTTCAAAGAAAAAAAAAAAAAAAAAAAAAACAACAAAACACAACATGGTGAATAGAGATGATGATGATTATTATTGGCATAGAGGTGATTATTTTGTTTGAAGCTGGAAATTTGGTAAGAACTTGAGGAACAGAATCATGAACTTCTGTGTGGTCTCTCTTGAAGCTCTAGCTCTTCCTCCAAATATTTTTTTTCCAGCATCAGTTTGGAGTAAATAAACAGTAGAATGTACTTGTTCTCTTGTTTGTGTTTTGCATTTTCTTTTGCATATTATGGTTGAAAAATACAGTGCCTATTAATAATAATACCTATTATTATACCTATGAATAATCATACCTATTAACTGTGGCATCTAAGTGTTGCATTGCACATCTGCTGAACACATTTGAGTGTGTTTGGATTTCAGTATGAGCAAATACTTTTAGTGAAGCATTCTTAGATTGTAGAGTGATCTTTTTCCTTGTACAGTAGATGGCAGTATGCAACAACCAATGAGGGTATTGTCTGCATCGATGGACAAGACTGTGATCATCTGGGAACCTGATAAGGAGTCTGGAGTTTGGCTAGAACAGGCAAGCATCAGTCTTTTCCACAATACAAACTGTATTAAAACTGGCTTTCCAGCACTGTGTGTGTAACGGAGGCAACTAAAACTATAAATTTATGCAAAAGAAAGATAGCAACTTTTTCTTACAGAATATGCATTCTAATGCTGTGCTGCAAGTAAAACATACTTGTCAAAAATGATGTGATGCAGCATAGCTTTTATTACTTGCTTATTATGATATTAGGAAGTTTGTCAGAATAGTTTCTGCTCAACTGTTATTATTCATAGAAGAGCAAGTCAGGTGCTGTATAGTAACACGCTCATGGTCAGTAGAGAAAGAAGCCACCCAGAAATATTTATAGTTAATCCCTGTGAGAACATGCACTCAAGCAGTTCCTGCAGAGCAGCTAACACATGATTCGCAAGCCTTGTTTTAATCACAGTAACTTTTTCATGGGTGTTGACATTTGGTTTTTCCTCCATTTGAGCTGAATGTTCGTGTTTCAGTGTATTATGTTGAATGCTTTTCTAATGTGGGTCATCTTAAATAAACAAGTAATAAAACTCAGATTTATTTAGTGCTTTGGAAGATGTCTCTGGAAAAGCAGATCAACTAGAAACATATTGCAGTAGTTCTGCTGAATTTGTTTGTGTTGCGTTATGCCAACCATTGTTTATGACTTTTCCTGTCACAAAGGAAGTTTTATTGCTCTCCTGGGGAAAAGAAGAGAAATACAGTAGTGATTATAATTTTTCCTCTGTTCCATTGAAAAGCCTTTCTACTTGAAGTATGAAGTAGTACACAGCAGGATAATCATGTAGAGATGCTGATTGTTGTTGTAGTTATGCTTAAATTTACAAATTTTAAAAATGTAATTGTGCCATAAAACTTGTATTAAGTTGTTACCTTTTTTTTTACTTTCCATTTGCATTGGTTGGACCTCAGATTGCAGGAACCCCCTTCTGAGGTGCTTGTAAAGGGAGACTGTGTTAAAATGGCCTGCAGCTTTAATTCCTGTGATATGTTGGTGCTTAATTTTGCAGTTACCCAAAATGTTTAAAGAATATTATATAATACAAACTCTTGCCTATAAGTAATTTGCATCTCGTGAGATTTGGACGAGTTCATGTTAATTGAAGGCTGTTTTCATGGATATTTCATTTCTGGTCACTAATTCAGGTGCGGGTAGGTGAAGTGGGTGGCAATACCCTTGGATTTTTTGACTGCCAGTTTAGTCCAGATGGTTCAATGATCGTTGCTCATGCTTTTCATGGAGCATTCCACCTTTGGAAACAGGCTTCAGTTAATAAGGTATGTTGTTTGTTTATTATTACTAGTTCTTATCATTTACTAGTTCTTGTCATTTAGTTGTATGGTTAATAGAAAATATCAGGTGTAACACTACAGCTTAAAATTAATGATAGAATTGGTCCTTCTCTGAGGTCCTTCTGCCTCGCTCCTGCATAGAGAAGAGGCTGGAATTAACCAGAATGTAAAGCTCCTGCCACCGTGTGGGATCCACATTCATTGGAGCAACTTGACACATTTGTAATTGTGCTTTCCTCAGAAATGGTACCTGAACCACTTATACTATTTTCTTCTAGGTTGGGACAATAAATCAGTATTGGTGTCCCTGTAGCTACTCTGAGATCTAATAATATGCTATTTTCAAATGTCTATTTTATTTTTTTTCCTAATCACTTACTTTTGTTACGATATGCTGATTAGTCAGTTGAAAACATATTGCTTCTTTGATGTCTTTCTTTAATTTTTTTAATAGAAAGAATGGACTCCAGAAGTTGTGATTTCAGGACATTTTAACAGTGTTGAGGATGTACAGTGGGACCCAGAAGGAGAATTTATCATCAGTGTTGGTTCTGATCAAACTACTAGACTATTTGCTCCATGGAAAAGAAAACATGAGACACAGGTATGATCTTCAAAAAGAATTTGTGGGGTTGGTAAAGGCTTGCCTTTCCCGAGTTTGGAATAAGTCCTCTGAGTATAGTTTTTATCTTAAATGTCCTCAAGCCATGATATTCAAAACTGCTTGTGTAAATGTTTGGCTTAGTTATTCAGTATGTGTTGTTTTTACTTTAAAAAAAATACTAATTGCAAGTTTTAGTAATCACATGAATGACTGCTGTTTAACTCCCAAGTTCACCTCTGAGTTACCTTCAGTTAATGTTCTTCTGGGCTCTTAAAAAATAAAAATAAAAATAATAAAAAAATAAAAATAAAAATAAAAAAATACAAGCTCTGAAATAAGTCGTGCAAGAATACATGCCTGATTCTAGTAATCATCTATTGCTCTTGTTTAATGCTTAGCTAAGCACTGTGGAGGATGACCATAAAGATACTCAGCCTTGTTCTTTTCCCACATGCTTTATCTAAGCAAATTTCTCACTGTATTTGCTTTATCTAAGCAAATTTCTCATTGTATTTCTATTTTATTTATTTATCTATTTTTATATTATTTTGTTTATGAATGTGACTTTTACCGGAATGATTACCCACCACTGAACTGCATTTGGCACTTATTCCTGCAACTTATCAGGAACAGCTACTCCTGAATAACTGTCTTTCAAAAGAAGTCTAAATTTTGTTGTAGGGAAACCCTGTCTGGGAATGCTGCAGTTGCAGTTTCTCATTGATCATTCATTTTGCTAGTCTGCAAACACAGGGTTGTGTTGTTTTGTTTTTATTTTCTTGACAGAACGTTCCATTCAGGAAACTTCCAGAAACTAGAGCACTGAAGTCATGTAAGGTCCTGTGCTAGCTATGGGGGAAGGTAAAAGGTAGCTGTTACCACAAAGCTTAGCTAAGTCACTAGCATAAACAGTTCCTTGTTTTCCTTCTTCCAGTCTACACAGAAGTGGTAGCAATTCCAGATCAATTTGTAAGCTTTGCATTGTATTTTATCAAGAGCACTTCCAGTTTATTTCTTTGCTGCTTTTCCCTCATCTCCAAGCTGGCAGGTGCAACAGCTCTGTGGAAAAGATAGAATGCTGGATTTGGCATATGGAAACAAAGTCCAGAACTAGCACGTTATGTAAGCTGACAGCATTCAAAATAGTTGTCAATAGCATATTCTCTGTGACCTACTGAAGCACCACTTTTCATTATGTATACTGTTTGTTAAATATTTGTCTGGAAGAACTGATATTTACCTATGCAGCTGTTCCTGTTATCTCTGAAATTTTAGAATTAATGAACTGATTTAGCAGAATGATGGCAGTGTTCTTATCTAAGTGAACTGAATTATTGTACTTCTTCCTGATCTGACAAACAGCAGCCATCTGGCTGGATAGAGCACGTGTAAAGTCAAGTGACACCAATGCTTTTTGCTGTAGGAGAAAGCTGTAGTAACCTGTAGGTGGGGTGAGGTGTAGGGTCATGTGAAGGGGAATGGAACACCATTGGTGTTCCATTGGAACACCAGGCAATGCAAGATTTTAAAATGCCAGCCTTTCCTTACCATACTGAGTTTAGCATCTGAAGAAATACAGTAGGTAACATCCGATGTTTGTCTGGATGATTCAGGTATCTATTAAAGCTTAAATATTGGGCTTTTTTACTAAACAGTACATCGTGCTAAATGCAAATTATTATCCCTTAAAATTCCAATTCTGATATAGTGCTGTGTTCACATGTCAGAAATAAGGAATAATACGTAACTTCCATTTGTCATGCAGACTTACTCCTGAAATTTACTGGGAGAAGATAATTGCACAAACTTGCACAATCATCCTTCTGCTTTGGTGTTTTTTTTTTGGTTTGTTTTTAATTTTATGTACTGTATTTTAAAGTATGCAAAGGTGTAGGGAAAGGAAGGGTTATTCCAATTTATTGCACTATTAGCTTTTTTTTTTAGTAATTGAGTATTTTTTTCTAATTGGAAAATATCACACTCTTTTGGTTCTCTGTAAGATTCCATTTATGTTGTATAGAAAGTTTAAAAATGAGATTTGAATGAATTTTTAGTGTTGTACAGGAAATTTAGAGTCAGCATAATACCTGGTATAATATAAATTCTTTGACTGCAGTTTTTCAGGGACTTTAATACTGAGTTAATATAAATTAATTCTGATTGAATAAGATTACAACTAGCAGAACTAAAATTAATTCAGAAATATACACCAGCTGAAATATAGTATATAAATAATAGCAACAAATGATTCTCCCTAAAAGTTTTTTAATAACACTGCATTTGCTAGAAAATAAGAGTGTTTTGTTTTGTTTTGTTTTGAAGAATCTTTACTTTCATATGTAGAATAAATAAGATTTTTTAGGAAACCAATGTGAACAATTTATTATATTCTTGCTAATATTCTTTGCTTTGACAATTAAAAAAATAAATCTTACCCTAAGCTAACTTTTTGGTTAGCTGTTGATTCTCTTTCTTGGATTAATGGATTAAAGTATGAAGAAAATAAAAACTGTTTCCAATGAAAATGTTTCCAAAGTCATCGGGGTTTTCCAATTCTTTTTGCAATAAAGAACTATTTTGGTTTTGTCAGTTCTTGCACAGCTTCTACAAAGTGATTTTGCTAATATTGATTATGAAGAAAAAACAGGAAGTAGGAACCTATAGCCTATTAACAGCAGTGCTGTCATGCTTCAGGAAAGGCAGATAAAGGAAGCAGGTACTTCTCACTAACTTCTTAGGTCTTTCAGAGCTATGGTTTTGAAAGCAATAAATAGCATACAGTCCTCCTTTTTTTTAAAGCAACTTGTGCCCTTTGTTTGAAGGTATAGGATGAAGAAGTTTCAGTGACTAGTTTGCCACAAAGGTAAGCAAATGCCCTAGGAGACCTGAGAAGTGACTCCATTCACTAATTACAAGAGTCATTTGGTGGAAGAATGGGAGTTAGCTGATGTATGTGAGCATACACCAGTTTTATAAACATTAATAGAAGGTTGTTAGCTTTCCTTCATGTTAATAAAGTCAGCAAGGAATGTATTAATACGTTTTTACATCTCAAAGTCTTACTGCTTCTCTGATTAAGAATTGTATTTTAACTGCGTTTCTGTTTGTGTAGGTAACCTGGCATGAAATAGCCCGGCCTCAAGTACATGGGTATGACATGCGTTGTCTGGCAATGATTGGCCGGTTTCAGTTTGTGTCAGGAGCAGATGAAAAAGTCCTTCGAGTTTTCTGTGCTCCCAAGAATTTTATAGAAAATTTCAGTAGCATCACTGGTATTCCGATGGAGAAGCTGTGTTCCCATGTAAGTATTCTAAAGCAGTTATAAATGAAGCAGGCACTTTTCCATGTAAATAATATCAATGCTTTAGAAAACATCAAACGTGTTAACTTCCACTAAAAAATGTAACTATTCCAAAGCTTAACCTTTTTCTCCTTCCTCTTCTGCTGGTTTCTCTGTGTGCTTTTTCAAATATATTTCATGATGTTGTCATAGAACAACTAAGGTTGGAAAAGACCACTAAGGTTATCTAGTCCAACCTATCCAGCACCATGCCCACTAGGTACTTGAAATAAAACAAGGCATGTTGTCTGAAGACTGTGAAGAATATGGGTAAATTAAAAAATAAAAAATCAGCCCAAGTAGACTAGTGTATGTATTTGATGATTTTAAAACAAACACTAATGCCTGACAACATGCTTCTTCTTAATTTGAGGGTGTAGTAGTCTTATATGTGGTCTTTATATGTAATTATTATTGTGTGATTTTGCATTGTTTTGTGTTTTGTTTTTTTTTTTAGTTGTATATTTGGAAATAACACCAAGCTTTCAGTACTGCTGTTGGTAGTTCTAGATAAATATTTATAAATATGTATTTGCTCATGCTTTATTTCCTCTTGGCTGTGGAAATTTTCTTGTGAGGCCAGTAGATTTCAGTTCTTGTAGGCCTATAGCCGTTGTATACAAGTGAGCATTCCTGCTTGGTGGAAAGGTAAGGCTTGCAGCATTGCTATTCTTTGTTTGCTACTCATTCACTTTAGGAACTAAATCTGATTTTCTTTGCATTTTGTAGAGCAGCCCTCTTTCAGAATTGTTCCCCCTTTGCATTTTTGGCTTAAAAGCAGTGTTTTCTGCATAGCTTCTCAAAGACAGATTAGCCCTTCCATTTCGTTTAATATTTGAAATGTGTAGGAGAGAAATCTATTAATTTTTGGTAGCAAGAAGTTACAGAAGTAGCTATCTATTGCTAATTGTGTTAAGTCATTTTAAGCATTTGTACTGATGATACTGTGCAAATAACATTGTGCTTTTACAATACTGGCAGATGTCATTATTTTACTTTTATGTAGACCTGCCTTATCAGGTCTTCCTCTGAGTGCCGTGTTTTGATCTATGATATCACAAAATGTCTTGCACAGACTTTGTCTAAAGAGGAAGGCTTCACAAGCTGTAATGATACAGATACTCTTAAACAGCTTAATTGAATTAGCTTTATGTGAATACTTTTCATCAGCGTGTAAGCTTTGTCTTAACTTTGTTCAAATGCCTTCCCAAAGAAAGTGCTTAAAACCAAAAAGGCCAGCTTTATATTCAAACGGGAGAGGAGTGGGGTTACATGCAGTTCAAACCTATTGGCTTGTGTTATACCTTACGTTATAATCAAGAAGCATTTTTGTTTTAAAAGCCACTTATATGTCAGCGTCAGACACTTTCTCATCAAGTTATGAATGTAATAAGTAACATCTTACTCCAGGCTGTCACCTAAATTTTAAGTCCAGTTCCTCATTCAAACTTTTCAAACCCTTGAACAAAGGGATTTTACAGCTGTTAGATCTAAAACTTTTCTATCTCTGCACGAACGTCCTGAAGCTCACTTACCTTTCTAATTTTTGGCTATGTATTCCAGCCACATCTCTGTGTTATGTGCTAGATTGTGTTGGAAGTCATGGGCAGAGACACTCCCTTAATTCACCTCAGAACAGATTGCCTCCCAGTCCTATTGCATTACTGACTGCAGTGCTCTCAGCTGAGCCTTATCGTGTGTGTCCTAAATAAAATTATAGTTGAAAACCTGAATGTAGGAATGAAGATACATGCTTCACAACAGAACTTTTGTGCTGAGGCCTTAGATAAAGTTTTTTTTTCTTGTTCCTCGTATTGTCTCAGGTGTGCTGTGGGTTGAGTTGGGAGTTTTCCAAAGACTCCCCTTCACTTCTCTCTAGAACAGTCCCTGTTGTCACAGGGATTCATTAACCTATGGCCTTTAAAACCTGGTCCTACATGACAATTTGTGAAACTTTTTTCTCTCTTTTCAAATTTAGCAATCTTCTGACCTTCCAGAAGGTGCAACTGTGCCAGCATTGGGTTTATCTAATAAGGCTGTTTTTGAAGGTATGGCTAATAAGAAATAATAATGAGAAGTGATGGTGCTTCACATGTAAAGTTTTTTTTAAATAATTTCATCAATTGTCTTTTTGCTTTGTCTCATAGTGAACTTGACTGTAAGTTTATAAGCTGGAAGTTGTGCAATGTATTTATTTTGTCTGGCAGCACTTAAATGTGGCGCTTAACAAAAACAGTGAGAACAAGTGAGAATCCTTTCTTGATTCATCCCTTTCTATGCTTTTGGCTCCTCTCCTAAATATCCCGTAGTAAACCTTGTGTGAACCTCAGATGCTCATTCTTTGCCTCCCACACTGTGACCCACATTCTGTAGGAAGTAACCCAAGGCTTGTTGTCTCCACCTGGATGTGGGGCTGGCTGCATCCTTGAGGTGGAGCTGGAAATATCTGGGGCACAGTGTTACTCAGATCCCCCAAACTGCAGTTGTTCTTACATTTTCTCTATGCTCCTTGGTGTTCCCTCAATCAGATTGCTGACAACTTCTAGCAAAAAATAATTGATTATTATTAAATAAAGCTAGGTTCCACATTATTAAATTGGGGCTGTCCACTGCTGTTCCTTGTTTCTCTGTAAAATACTAGTATCCTTGACCTCCTAAGTTGTAGTCTGGAGTCCTGTTCACATGCTCCTTGGATGTTAGCACTCTTGCAGAGGTTGTAGAAGTAATGCAGTTTAAGTGGAATTGGCCACATTTTCTATTCTTTTCCCATAAGAGTAGACATAGATCTTTTGTAGACAAATAACACTTTGTAAAAGCACTGGGGAAGAAGAACTATTTATGTAACATGAAGAAATGTTCTTTCAGTAAAGGCTGGAGAGACACCAGATCATATTCTTGGAGAGGTGGTGGGAACACCAGGAAGGATAATTGTTTGGAGTGATGACTATAACTGAGCTATATCTTGAGACTAGGTTTGGAAATGGGAAATCCGGTGTTTGATAAAGCATGTGGTAAAAATGTATTTTAACTGGAATCTACAAATTAGGTTGGACCTTTTTTTTTTTCCTCTTTTCTGTCTAAAAAAATTTTTGTGTGTTGTCCACCATTATCATCCACCAAATGCTATCAGCATTGACAGCTTAAGTTAAAGTCCATAGAACATTGTTTTTGCTTACTCTACAGAGGAATCTTATAGTGAATAGCCATCAGGAAGTATCTCAAGTTAGATAAATGCTACTGATTTTTCTTTTTCTTTCTTTCTTTTTTTTTTTTTTGAGGAGAAAGAAGGCAGGATGGATAACAAAATAATCTTGCTGTTCTGCTGAATTCTCTGTACCTACTTTTTTAAACAGCTGTATTCAAAATTTCCATTTCACAAAAAAGTACTTTACTCCAATTTGATATCTTAAATATTTCTTTCAAAGTGAAGGATAGAGTTGAATTTTAATGTAACTGAATAATTTCAGATAGTATGTTTGTTCAGCTACAAAGGCTGAGCACTTGGTAGTTTTGCTGAAATTTGCAAACTGTATGTAGACTTCTTCAAGCATGGCTTTTCATGTAGGTGTCTACATGATTTGAAATTAAACCTTCTTTCTTTGGATTTTTTTACTTAAATTTTCAAGGAGGAAAATGATTTAACACTGGGGACACAACTGTTTGAGCTCCTATTGACCGATTCTTTGATATGTCAAGTCTCTTTGAGAATCTCTGAAAGAGACTCTGACAGTGAAGAGGTCAATCCCAGAGTGGAACTAATCCAAAGGTTGGATTGTTTTTATGTTTTTGTTTTTTTCAAAAGTCTTCTCAGTGTTACGTGCATCAGAATCACTGGATTCTAGTGTTTGTATTAACGTTGCTTGGATTTTCAAAATAATGGAGGGTTTTTCCTTGTGTAATACATGCTTATATTTTCTCTTATGCCAAATATGTTCTCTACAGCTAATAAAACCCTTATTTTGAATAGGAGATATATCTGCTCAAGTAGCTGAGGATGAAGAAACGTTTAATACTATTTCTAATCAGTATCCTGAGATATATTTTCAGCCCCTGATTCTTACAGGTATGAGATTATTTTCTATTGTATGCATAATTTAGCTGATTTTAGATTATCTACTGCCAAATTTGAATACGTTATACAAATGTCTTCTAGAACCTCCACAAGAGGATCACTTGCTGCAGAATACATTGTGGCCTGAAATTCAGAAGTTGTAAGTTTTCTTTTTCTTTCTTTTTTTTTTTCTTTTTTTCCCCCGTAAAGCTATTGCAACATTAATGTAGTCTGGTCTCATAACTCTACCTGACTTACTACCTGATTTGACTCTGTGCAGCATATATCTTTTAAAATAAATATATGTATCACAAAGGTAAGAGTCTGTAGAAAAGGGCAGGAATTTTTTGCTTTCTTTTGCTTTTTTGGCAGACTGTGCAGATCACGTCTGTCTTTCTGCTCTGGATGTAGTGCTGCTACTCATGGCTCATGGGACAAATAAGTAACTTCTTCTCAAAGTCCAAGGAAGTTGTCAGATGCAATAGATGGAAGCAGCAGCTGAGACAAGCTGTGGTTGGTGGTAGAGCAAGGGGGTGAATGTGGATGAAAATGGTTGCAGACCCAGTTTGGGTATTGAATGCTGACATACTAAGTTATGGTTCACAAATGTAATAGGTTGTGCAAATAATTGTTCTGAGGTTGCAGGGTTTTAGAATTCTTCTGCTGTGTTTTGTTCTTCTTTTTTTGAGATTCATCCAAAGTATTAATTTCGTAACAATTTGCAAATGAAGTTTCTAACATATTTGTTCCCTCAGGATCTCAGTAACATGAGGCTGCAATTGCTCAAGCTTCAAAGTTTTCGTGAGTTTCACCCAAAAGAGCTGGTCTTAGTTACAAGTTGTTGCATGCTAACCTTAGCCAAAATTTGTTTTCTTGACTTACTGTCAATTAGACCAGCTCCTTGAACCTCTCAGGGGGCAGTACCAGAGAGCTGATAGGAAGTGGAGGGGATAATGAAAAAAAATCTTAACTGTAGCATTTGCATGGCTGTTTTAAGTGAGTTTAGGTAGCAGTGCTGCTCTGGAAGCAGAGCTGTGAGTAGGAAACTGAATATCTACATATGTTGATCAGCAGTCTCACTTCTGATCTTGAATATACGAAGGAGTGAGTCATTTCAAGTTCTTACATATTTTCTAATGTGAATCTCCTGAAACAGTAGTCTGAGGCAGAAGCAAGAATGTTGAGTCTTTGACTACGTTTACCGATGTTATGGCTTTGTTTGGGGAGGGGAGATGGAAGAGGAAATATTTAAAACACAACAACAACAAAAAAACCCCAACATTTTAGGAAAGCTGTTTGCAAATTGCTTTCATTTGACCAAGTAGGAGGTTTTGTTGGGAACTCATCTTCATGTTCAGCTGGGCAGTTAATCTTCTTTGAATACTTTTAAACGCTTTTACACCAGGGAAGCTGGCAGGAACTAGACTGTGTCTGTATGTTTTGTAATTACCAACGATTACATTAAATGCTTCTCCTGTACACGCAACGACTGCTAATGCATCTGCTTTATTTAAGTAGTTTGGTGGTGATCATAAGTAGTGAAAAGGGGCCATGGCCAAAATTTTCCTTTGTTTGCCTCTGACATTTCTCAATGTCTAACCAACTGTTTATTGTTGATACTCTATTACAGGAGTACTGCTTCTCAATTCTCATTTAGTAAAATATCCTTTATTTTGTGATGGCTCTCAGGTGACTTATCAGCAATTTTTTCTGTTTTTAGAGGAACTGTTAATGATAGAGATTCCTTTGTATAAAGGAAACAAGATGCAAGCTGTCTTTCAGATATTTTTTTTTTTTTGTTCAGGATAATCTTGAAAGAAGTAACATGAAATTGCATAATGCAGATTTCAAGTTACCATGGCAGCAGAAAAACAGCATGAGGAACTGACTTGCCAAAAATAGCCTCTTTGTTATTGACATTTGTGTATTCCCAGCTCTAGCTCAGCACCAAATTTTGAAGGATTAGTGTTCAGTTTTGATAACTATTTGGCTGAGTGGGTTTTAGCATGAAGAACTTGCTGAATTTTTTACATAATCTAATAACTTTAAGATAAAATATGATAAATCCTATGAGAATATGCTAATCCTTATCCTCTTGGAAAATTACCATAGAATGTATATATGCAATATGTATGTTTTATGTAATACACTTGGAAGTTTTGAGACATCCTTTTTGACGCTAGAAAATTACAGTAATCATTTGCCTGGAAACTTTGAATGTCCATTCGGTTCACCTGTGCATTAAAAAATGCTGTGAATTACACATTGCTAGGGCAAAATGGCTTGTGGCTGGAAATGTCATTTCATTATTCATTCATACAGTTGCTTTGCTCTCCATTGTGAAGCCTTTTTTGTGCTGCATTATGTAACGAAGGGGTGGGATTGAATGTATATGGATGGAAGGAGGGCTTGTGACTGGGACTTGCTGTCTTCATCTTTAATGAAGTCACACCTCAGTGAGTCCCTGCTTGTACAGATGCATATTATAGTTCAGTTTGTTTTTTGGGGGGCTAGGGGGATAGTTTATATCTTCTTGGGCCTTCCAGGATTTGCATGAAGCTTATTGGCACAAATTGTCACTTGAACAAGACATTGCTCTAAGCTTTGGGGGTTGTTCCTAGGGAGCGAAGTTGTAGCTGATGATGGTCCATCATCATGGGGGAGAGAGGCACCTTCTTCTCCTTGATCAGAACTCTGTTCTGATTTAGCTCTGAAGAGATGAACAGTTCTCCAGTTAAACTCCTTTGGTCAGCAGTATTGCAAAGACTTTGTTAAATGGGACTGATGTTCATGGGATTTTACTTACAGCCAAAACAGCCATCTGTTTAAGTGGCAAATTACTGTCTGTATCTGTTGAATAGAGTAACTGCTGGGCATATCCCACAGACAGACTCCCACATTTATGTCTGAAGTTTGGGGACGTGCTGGCACTTCGTGAAGAGTGTGTACAGGCCTTCTGGGAAGAGAGAGGCTGGTGGCTGCTTAATTGGAATGTTAATTTGCAAATCTAATTGTGTCTCATAACGGTGAAGCTATTAATTTGTGTCTTCCCCTCACCCTTCTCCCAGAAGGGTTGTCACCATAATGCTTACTTTAAAAGTAGATTTCTGAAAGTTGCCTTATATTGGAAACCATTGAAAGTCAAGTTTTTAAAACTGAAAATATTATTCCGTTAAAGGTATACTTTCAGTGAAATTCAGTAAAGGAGAAACAGCCTGTGGAATAACTTGTGAAACAAGTCTTCAGTTACTTTGGTTTTATCTCATATAATGTAGTATTGCAGAGCATTTAACAGCAACGTTTTGATCTTCCTGTATGCCACTTTGCTCTTATTAAATAGAAGCATTAAAATACTCCTCCTTAAATGAAAATAAGACCTAAGACAGTATCTTTTACAAGGTCACCCAAGCTTAGGTCAGACCAAGAGCCTCTAGAGACCAATGTTATCCCCAGGGAGGATAATAGCAATAAGAGATTCTGTTTTCAAAGATGTGAGATGCTTGCTTCAGTTAGTCAATCAACATCCAAGAAAAAAACAACTGCATATGAAGTGGCTGGCAGGGAAGCCAGTGTGATGTATTGTCCAGGCTGAACCTGACTCCTTGCTCTCTGGCTGTGGTGAGTCTAGCTGTTTCCTACAGCATGGCTGGACTGGACTACATGAGTTGGGGGTAGGAGCAATTGTACTGTCGTATGAAGAGGAAAACTATGTAAGCAGATACCCCAAGGAAGGTTGTTCCCTTCAGTGTTCTCCCAGTTTCACTGTTTTCAGCTCAGGAGCTTCTGAAGCGGAATATGCATTTTTATTATGTTTCTACAATACTCACTGGTTTTCTCTTCCATTTACTTGTGGAGTCCTGTTTGAACCAATGTAAAATGGCAATTCTCTTGATACCTTTCCTCGCAGAGGTCAGAAAATGCATTGTCTCTGGTGTAAAGAATCCTCCTAGCAAATTTTGTAGTAGAAGAGACAATGCCCTTTCTGTGCCAGTTGTTGTCTGCAGTTCAGTGTTGTTACCCCTGTCATACAGAACAAGGGGTAATCAAGTAGTAAATAGTAAATAGTAGTAAATAGTCTCTGAGCATAGGGTCATGAGGAGTAATAAACAGGTCCTGATACCTCTGTACTTTGTGGCACTGAAAACAGTGTCCTTACGTTGTCATTGTTCAGGAGTGGCGATGAGAAAGCTAGAAAACAGGGAGGTGACTCCAAGTAAGGCTGGCCTCATGCAGATTGTTTAACTTTGTTCATGGGGATTTCTGTGTTATTCCTTAAATATTCCTTGAATATTAGATAATCCAGAATTCTTATGGCTTTGCTTGGAACAGAAAGTGAAATGCATGCTTAAGTACTGTAAATCAGGACCTCCCTCTAGCAGCTGGTATTTAGCTGATATTTTTCTACTGTTTCAAGATGTTTCCAATTTTATTCTGCCTCTGATCTCTTCTGTGACTGATAGTAGTTTGTTAGCCTTTGTTTTTCTTTTGTGATTTTAAAATATATGGCTTCTAATTTTTATTGGTAGCATTAAAATTGTTTTACAAGAAAATAAGAGTACATTAAATGCTGTCTGCATTTTGTTAATAATTGCAGTAGGTTTTGCATTCCTGATGATTTAGGGCTATGGAATGTGCTGGAGAGATTGGTCTGTAGTCAGTTCCTAAGCATGAAAAAGTTTATGCAGATGTTTAACTTGAATGCAGAGTATTATTAGGATTTATTTGGAATGTGAAACAGAAAGTGGTGTTGGTTGAAAGATGTTCCTAGTATATTTCTTTCATTTTTGCAGAGGGATTTAAGGTAATATAGAAACACTAATACATACTGCAGAAATGTCTGTGCTGTGCTAAACAGCTTTTGAAATTTATTTCAGGTATGGACATGGATATGAAATTTTTTGTGTTGCTTGCAATAATTCAAACACTGTAATTGCCTCAGCGTGTAAGGTAAGAAAAGATTCTAGCACCATCTAGTGAAAAGTGCTGCCATATTTCTAGGGCTGACAGAAGAGTTGTCAAAATTCAGTTTGCACTGTGTCTGCTCTTTAAGTTAATGTGAAAGACTTCTTGTAAATGGCAGTTGCCTTGCAAAGGTGAGATTGAATGCAGAGGTGTTGTTATTCAGAAATAATTATGTGATTCGTTTAAAGTTGTTAGTAAGAGGAATTCTAACAAACAGTTATTTATAACATTTATCTAACTGACACATTGTCATTGCTGGTAGAATGCAGTGAAACAATCTTGAAACTTTGTAGAAGGAACTGGACTGTAACTCATAAAAAAAAAAAAAATCCCCTTAACATTTTGGTATGTTGCAATGTGTGATTTTTATATTTGCCTTATTTAATTCACACTGATTATTTTTATTTTTTTCTCCACAGGCTTCCAAAAAAGAACATGCAGCAATTATTTTGTGGAGCACTTCTTCTTGGAAGAAAATACAGAGTTTGCCATTTCACAATCTGACAGTTACTCAGCTGGCATTTTCACCTAATGACAAACTTTTATTAGCAGTATCTAGAGACAGAAATTGGTCACTGTGGAGGGAAGAAGCCTCATCACAGTCAGGTAAGGTACATGGGATGGATTTATACATTTGAAGACTTTAAGATTTGTTCAGTATTTTTGGCTTCAAAGTATTTGGAAGATAATTGGTAAAATATTTTAATGGACGCTTTTCTTACAGCTATTAAGTATTTAATAGTGGTATGGGTTCCTGTAGTTTTAGGAAGTGCAATTTATGGTGTATAGGAAAAACTATAAAGAGAGTTAAAATGTAGAAAAGGATATGATCAGGCATTAAATACTGTTTAATTGAAGTCTGCTGTTTGTCTTCCTGCCTTTTACTTGTGGCTGTACGTTACACATTTACTGAAATCAGTTATACGAGCTGGAATGCAGTGTCTGAATTTCAAACTGGTATTCTGTCATGCAAAACCATTGTCTTGGTGTTCTGCAGAGCTACATTAGAAGGTTCATTATTACATTGGTGTGTCCTGCGTAGAACTGCCTTGTCCCTTTTTGCAGGACATGATGCTCTGAGGCTCTTGACAGGATTAATTTCTGTCATTGGTGTGGCTTTCTTATAATCCTACACAATTGATTAATTTGACTGGCTGGCTCTGTCTGTAAAATAGAACTGATGGTAAAGATTCAGTTGACTTTCTCATTAGGACTTTAAGCCTTGCAAAATCGTAAGGAGATTGCTATTGAACATGAATGGATTCCTTGAACAGATGCTTATGCTGAAAACAATTATCACTGCACCACTGACTTAGTAAGAGCCCAGTAGTGTTTATGTGCTACAAGGTTTATAGAGCTTTATAGAGTTTTCTCACAGTCTTGGCAGTGTGTTTTCACCCTGTCACACAGTGTCTGTGTTCTGGCTTGAGATTCTGTTCTGCTCAGACTTTTATTTTAAAGCCTGGCATATTGTCCAAAGTACTTAATGTTTTGGGTTAAAGAGTATGAATTCATACAGAATGTAGAGGAAGCCCTCTTTTCATCTGTTCATCACAAACTTTTCAGTATACAAAACATCGTTATTACTATAAAGCAAGACTACTTCTATTGGCATCCCAATAAATGCAGTTATTCAACATCTGTGTTCTGAAATGACAGTTCTTTCTAATTAGGAAAAGCATTCCCAAAGCTTTGCTGTCTGCTAATCAGATTTACTGCCTGATTTTATGCGTGGTGAAACTGCAGCTTATCTTGTTGGGAGCAGATTAAGCTTTGGGATTGGATCATTGTGATTTCAGCTCTTGGGCCTTTACTGGTAGTAACTAGAAACTGTAGTGGATTGCTGGGGTGTGTGTGTACGCATGGTAAAAATTGCACTATACTAAAGCTTTTGAAGTCAATGTTTTTATTAAAAACGTGTATGGAACCTTGATACATAATGCTTGAAATTCATTTCTTTTGAAGCAGATAAGCGCATAAAGGAAACTGTTCCCAGTTTTCATGCTGTAAGGACTGAGTGGTGTGGTCTTGGATCGGTACTAATTATGTTCAATTGATTAATGTCGGGGAAAAAATACTAAGTACTCCTGATACTATTACTAAGTACCTCCCAAGTGCTTTAAAGATGAGTGTAATGGCATCCAATTATTCCTGCTGTTCACATTATTCTTAATTATTCTAGGTACTTCTAGTAAACAAAGTAGTTGAAGTAAAGGTTTTTCTTTGTTTTATTCCAGGACCAGTTTTCAGTTGCTGTGCACACACAGACAAAAATACAGCTCTTCACAGTCGAATCATTTGGTCTTGTGATTGGATGCCAGATAGCAAATATTTTGTTACTGGCAGTCGGGACAAAAAGGTAATTAATGTAAAAGGAATTTTAAAAGCCCAGAATTATTTTAAGTATATTTAAGATTAGCAAGTGCTATATTCCGACGGACTCATAGTCTATAAGTGCTAAGAAACTATAATGTATGTTACCTCAGAAATCAGGGAGACTTTCATATGCTGGATAAAGTGCTCAAATATATATGTACAAGACTGCGGTCTTTCTCCTGTCTCACTTTGCACAGTGAGATAAGCATATGTCACAAACTCTCACGGGTATCTACTTAAGGTTTTATTGAATTTTCATAATATAATCTGTATTTGTTATTGATATATTTAATGCAGTCAAGCAGATTTTCTAAGCAGTTGAGTCTTTGTAGGTAGAAACTTTTAGGGGTCATTGCCTTTGTTCTGTGCTCTGGGAGTATTTTAACAGAGGGATTCCTAGGTGATTCTCTTTTTCGCAGGTCATCATCTGGGGTCAGTGTGATTTATCTGTGACTACTGAAGACAGTGTGTTGGATACAATCAAACCTTGTTCAACAGTACTGGATGCTGGAGATTCTGTTACTGCCGTTAGTATCAGCCGTGTGCTTACTCCTGATGGAAGGTATTGCTGACTTATATAGTGGCATTCTGAGTATAATTTGAAATCAGTGTGTTTTTTCCTCTTTAGTAATTTTGTATGGCTTAGCAGCTCTTAACATTTAGCTGTCAAGTATTTGACTATTTGAATTCTTTTTTCTTTCCTTAACCTATTTTCAGGTGGGGGGGAGAGGGTCTGGGGATAGGATGACAGAGTGGGTTAATGCATCTGAGACACACTTGTTCTTGCAATGATATTGACTGGACTGATGCTGTAATAACCTGTTTATGAGTATTATATTTTTTATTCTAACCAAATGAATTTACTGATTTCTGCTTTGTTCATTTTTATGAAGGTGCTTTGATTTAAACTGATTTTTTTTTCCTTGAAAAAGTATATATTAATTTGAAGACAGAGTTGCAATGCTTTGTTTGAGTGTTAAGAATTCTGCATTTCTCTTAGAATTAATGCAGTGTTCTCTTTATAGGTATATTGTTGCAATAGGCTTAGAGAATGGGAAGATTAACTTTTACACATGGAAGCAGAGTGGGCAAGAACCATCAGTAGCTGACTGGACCAAGTGTGTTGAGATGGATAACAGGTATATCTTTTGAAGTGTTTTAGGAGCAATGAAGTGTTCTTACCAAGACTGATAGTACTGGAATTTTTTTCTTATGTTATAAAATATGAATATGATATGAAACTTCTTTTTTTTCATACAAATTTGATATCCTTTAAGGAAAAGACTGATCTCTGGAAACCTGCAGATGTCTTCAATCATAATCTGAAAATATAGAATAAAATAAAGGTTTTTTAGTGTTAACCATAGAACAAGATGGTAGAAAATACTGTGTGGTGGGGGAAAGAATCACTGAATCACTGTCTGTGTACATTTGCAAAGAATTTTGAAGTAGATGACAAAGTTTTAAAGAGCAGCTTATAGCAAAAACTAAAGGAATCGTAAGCTAAATATGGTGCTGCTATGGTGATAGTAAGAGAAACTCTACAGAGAGACTTTGAGTATTTAATTTGGAACATTTTCTTAGATTCTTTCTCTATGTATTGACAGTGATAGTATCAGAAATAAAAGTTGATGGTGACTTTGGCCTGTGTACTTGAAGTGAATTTGAAAGAGATGCCAAATGACAGGAAATGATACACTAAGAGCCAGAAATCTGTCCTATCTTGGTAACTGAGATGCTAGATCTGCAGCCTAACATGATAAAACTTCAATAACTGTTTAAATAATTGATGACCGTGAAGATAAAATGTCACTGAAATTAATGGCCCTACTTATTTTTAAGAACTTCATACCTGCTGATTATCACAAGTCAGCTTTTCCTCAGTTGGTAGAGTTAAGCATACTAATTATATAAATGTTGATGTTTACATTCACATACCCAACTGTGCTTGACATTTTGCACTTATGTATGGATTTCTTCTTGTTGCAGCCAAAGCCATGCTCTTGCTGTGAAACGTTTGTGTTGGAGACATCGTGAGGGCAGAGCTGGACATAATGATCAGAACAACAGCGAGTGGTTGCAGCTTGCAAGTTGTGGAGCTGATCACTGTGTTAAAATATTCAATGTCAACAGATTTGCTCTTTAACAGAGACAGCAGGCCTGTCTGTGCGAAATTAATTCACAACACTTTTTCAGCATTGTTTAATCTTACTTGTTTTTGAATTTTTTTCTGCTGTCGAAAGTGAAACATCTGAAATATAACTTATTAAAACAACTTTGATAATTGGAAATACTTTTCTATTTCTGCACTTCTGGCAAATGTGAAGTATTTATTTATTTTGATTGGTGAATGTCCTGGAGAAAAGGGATAGGAGGTGTGGGATATGGCATAGAAGAAGGATAATGAGACCTCTTCCTTCACTGTGAGTCTGGTGGGAGGCAGCCAGTAGTTGGGTTTTTGCATGCTTGGGTTGGCAAGTGGAGTATGGAATTGTTTGAAACGCCTTATTCCTATTAAGTGCAACTGTCAGTTAGCCTGTTAGTGCTGACACAGTGTTTCAGCATCTGCAGTTAACCAGAGGTCAGAATTGACTGCACACTTCTCCCTAGTATCCTTCAGAATGGTTATTATAGTACCTGTCCAAGTCGTAGAACAGGCATGTCCAATCCACTGGCTGCATGCAGACTGGCATGATTGGCAGTGCAGCATGCCCTGCCTTGCTCTGCTCTGTAAGGGTGGTGGCTCCTCCCTGCAGAGTACCCTGGGCACGCACCCATCACTAGTAACACTGTGTGAACTCAAACAAGAACACAGGGAGGGCAGTGCTGAGCAGTGCTGACTCAAGTGGTGACAAATAATTGTATGCATTTTGATACACTGGCTAAGCACAGTGCTCTGAATAGCGAAGACTACGCAGTCATGCTTTCTGTTTTGATAAAGGAGTTTGAGAATAGATTTCAAGATGGCAAAAAAAAAATCGTTAATTTGTTTGTGACACTATTTTCAGTTGATATAAATACATTACCTGCAAATTTTCAAATGCAATGTATAGAGTTACAATCAGATATTTAACTCAAAAATCTGATAGTGTCTTACAAAAGTCTAGTAGAGTGACATTTCTTAAAAGAGAAAAATACTTTTCACTTCACAACCACATTTTATTCATGTCATTGCTTTTTGGCTGTATGTTTGTGAATGGTTGTCAAGGATAAAGTACAAGAAGAATAAAATTTCATCAAAAAGATCTCTGAACACCTTGAGAGCTCACGGAGAATTGCAACCACTTCTGCTGAAGAAGAGTGATGTATTAGTTTCACAAAACAAGGTCAAATATCCCACTAGTTTTATGAGTTTGTTCCTCTCTTTTTTTAATATTTTTAGAAAAAAACTTAAAATGTTTTGTTACTTAAATATATTAAAATATATAATATTATTAAGAGGGCTGCTCCAAAAACAATGCATCCTATTTTATGATGTTAGACCATGCCGTCTGAAGCAGATGTTGGTATGGCAGTAGAGGTTGAATCTTCCCACTGCTATCCCATTACATTTTGTTGCCATAAGACAGTTGGCAGCGGAGGGGCAGTTTGACACAATGGTGTATGACATGGAAATGTAGATGGAGCAAAAGTGTGGAATTGAATTTCTCCATGCAGGAAAAAATGGCATCCAATCACATTCATTGACTCTTGCTGAATGTGTGTGGAGCCCACAGAAATAAATAGGAGGCATTACTTTCTGAACAGTGTGTGTATATGCAGCTCAAGACAATTCCTCTTTACTCGTTTTGGCCTAGACAAGCCAAAGGGTTGGACATCCATGCTCTAGGAGGAGTTTTTTTTTCTTTATGCTTGAACTACTTGTTTGTTTTTCTCATGAAGAGGGAGCTTGAAACCTAACTCTTAGACAACTTAAATCTCATGTCTTCTCTGTATAAGTGAGAGCCTTTCCTGAGCAGAGTACTGTAGGAGAGCCATCTCCTTGCTTGTGTGCTGTCTTCTGCAGTTCAGGCTAGAAAAACTTACAAATGTTAATAGGCTGGAGCTGAAATGTGGCAACTGATCCTTACACTGCATTCTACTGAATTCCCATCTTTTGAGTGCTTTGGTGAGAAGTTGAATAGTTAACTTAATTCTCTTATCATATTGTAATTAGGACAGAGTAACAATAACAGCTGAGTACTTCAGTAAGGATACTTTTGCCTTAGCACATCTGTCTTTGATTTTAAAGTTAGTTAAACTTTGAGATTGAAATAATTTCTGTTCCAGAATTAATTGTTATCCAAGCTGGTAGTACAGAAATAATTGAATTGTGGTGAACCTTTTGTTGTAGATTTAGCTAAAGAGTACAATTTCTTTGGGGTGGAAGGGCAAACACTTTTCAAAATAATTATAATTTGTTTTAAAGGTTTTTATATTTTAGCTTTTTTTTTTCTCCAAAAAAATATTATTTAAAATGTCTTAGGAAAATAAAATCTTTATTAAGATGCTTTGCTGTATTCACTTCATTTGTGGTACCCGGTGCTCCCTCCAGCTTGTATACCTTAAGCTTTTGAGCAATTTATCTTGTCACAGGAATTCTTAAATGAACACAGACTGTATCCTGACAAAGGACACAGTGTTCATGAGCTTTTGTTGAACTTTATTATATATTAAAATTGTAATTTGATATCTTACCTGCAAAGTTCCAAAAAACTTGCATGTCTTGCCATAGAGGGAAAAGCAAAACAACCTATTAATTGCCCCTCTCATATTTTATGCTATCACTGAACAAACTTTCTTTACCAATACCAATGTTGTTGTAATTTCTATATTGCTGTTTTATTTATTTATTTATTTACAAAAAAAAGGGGGAAAAGCAAGGATTTTCCAGATGTTGGCAAGATTGATTCTATTCCATTATCCTTGTTTTGTTGGTGTTATAAATCCTGGTGGAACAATGTGCCTTCTTGCTGTATATCCTTCTTTCTGCAAAAGCTTGATTAGAATTTTCTACAGTTTTTCCCCACTTGAATGGCTGTCACTTTTGTTTCTCCTATGCTTTTCCTCTGTGTGTACTTTACTGAGACACTATTTCATACATTGAAATAGCACATCCATTCGTGCATGCACGATTTATTACATTAAAGAAAGTTGTGACTTCAGTTCTGTTTACCTGACTGACCTTACCATGGTCTTGTTTGCCTACTAAGATCTCTTATTTCTACATTTTCTCCTGTGCTGCCCTGGTAGTCTGTCAGTGCTGTTCTCTGCTGTCAAGTGCCATGCATCTTTCCATTCCAACTCACCCTGTTTTCTAGGAGGGTGATTGTTTTTCACTGCTCTCCTTGAATGAAATCTCTAGTTGCTCTTAAGTACATTTGGAAAATAGTCAGCCTCTATATTTTGCAAGTTGCTTAAATCTCTTGTTGCAAATAATCCAATGCCATTTAATAAAAATTTAAAGTTAAATTTAGTGTTTCTGCTAATATATCTTCTCAAGGCTGTCACGTAAGCTGTGCAAGCTCTAGTCTTAAGAGGCTCCAACTTTTCACAACACAGCCTGTTATTGCATTAAGTTTTCCCTTATGTCTTGCTCCGATTTATAGGAGGGAGAGGAGGTTCTTTTAATATCTATATCCACAGCGTGAGATTAAGAAACAATGGTTCAAATGTTGGTCCGACCAGTTTATTACAGATGCTAATTAGGGAGATGGTGAAGGGGAGGACGGACACTATTATGAATTAGGGTAATGGGGAAGGGAAGGAGGGCAATAGAAAAGGTAAGAAAGAAGAAGCAAGGAGTCTTTATAGGAAGCAAGAGGGACATAGTCACTACCATGGATCCAGCGAGGTTCGTAGTTCAGCCTTTGATCTTCAATAGTGGTGGGTCATCAGGTGTTGTTGTTCTGTTGACAACGATAACCGCGACAACGACAACCATGGTGACGATGGCTCCTTTTCAATGCTTTCAAAGTGGTCGAGTCAGCTGTCTTTGGAGTGACAGCTCAAATCCAAAGTGGTTGAGTCAGCTCTCCTTGGAGTGGCAGCTTCTGGCTCTGGGATCTCAGCAGAAACTCCATTGTTCCCACCTTCCGGGCTGTGCCAGCATATAAGAGGAGCAGGGACGCCCATCTGCATCCTGTTTTTCACAGGACACGATGGTATCATTCCCCAATTTTCCCATACCAGGCTGGAGCTATTTAGTCACAGGCCAGATCTTCAGCCAGTAAACACTCCTGAGCACTCTCTTCCGGAGGTAAGCAGCTCTGGAGGAAGGGGCTTTCAAATGTTCCCAGAGGGATGTCAATTTTTACATGGTAGCACCCATCACTTGCCTCCTCAACAAATCAATCAGAGTCTTACCACAAGAAATACCTCAGGAAGCAAGCTTTGAGTCAAAAAACAAAGGATTCTCACACCTTAATAGGGTGATCACATACAGCAGTCAAAAGTAAAAACTTAATGTCTGGAATCACAATGCTCCCCATCTTTGCATTATTGTTTCCTGCCAGTACTTAGGTAAGGCTTAATGATGCTGTTCTAGTGATAAAAAGCCACAGGCAAACGGTGCATGTCAAAACGCACACATCTAGAGCAGCCTAATCCTCCGCATTGCATTTTCTAACTCTGATTAGAACTTCTGATTTTGTTCTCATTTCTGTTATCAAAATGGACAAGGGCAGCATGCTTATTTTAAATCCTAGTGCTCTAGCTGGATGCAAAACTAATGTGACATCCCTTATATACTGAGGCTCTCCATAGTACTACTTATAATTTACTGTCCCTTTTTTTGACCAACCCTTGCTTCTGAAGTGTGCAGAACTGGGTCTGTGCAGGTTTAGAGAGCTAAGCTGCTTAGTGCCTCTGCTGTGCTGAAGTGTTACTTCCTGAAGTTCCTGGGCAGATTGATGTACGCACTTCTGGAGCTTACCGTTAAGTAATAGAGTGCATTTAACAAAAGGTTGCCATAAATGCTAAAGCAGATGAGATCTTCTCACACAGATTTAGGCCCTTAGCTAACTGCAAATTTTCAATACTATTCTTGTGGTTATGTGTGTTGGTTTTCCCCTCCAGCCTGATCCCAAGTTGCAGATCTTTGTCTAGATGCTGTTTTTTTTTTTTTCTCCCCCCCCTTCTATCCTTTTTTTTTTTTTTACCTTCAAACTTTCTGCATTTGTGATAGACTGGTGTTGAATTGAGCCAGCAGATTTGAACAATTTTAAGGATATATATGGACACTTGTAAACCAGGAAAAAGACTGGATCAGGGTAAAAACTTGAACTCATTTACAGAAATGTAACCGCAACTCTGACAAAATGCAAGCACTCACCTCATTTTTGCCCTTATGTAATTCATGCTTTGCCTTTTTTTCTTTTGTGATGGCATTTATCAGAAGATAAATGGCTTGCATTGGAGCAAGAATAACACCACTGTAGTGTTATCAACTTTTAGCCCAAGATCTCAATTCTAGGAAGCAAACTGCTTTATATATTACAGTTGTTGGGAAAGTTTCCAAACATACAGGTTTTGTTTGGTTTCTTCCCCTCCCCTCCAATCCCTTTTGATATACAGGTTGTTGAATCTGCATCAACTCCAGGCAGAAATACATCTCAAAAGCCCGTAATCATCACAGTCTGAATCTGCAGTATCTGTTTTCAAATGCAATGCACCATAGTACTTATTCCCAGTCACATTTGAGTTGTAAAGTTAGACAACTGCTTTATCTCCTACCTGGTTCAGAGCCCCAAGGAAATGTAAACCAGCTGTGCCAGCAGTCTCTTCGAGGTATCCCATTCAGGAACACCAGGGAAACACATTATTAGGAAGGAGAGTGAAATGTGCTGCAGCAGGAAATCTTGAGTCTGGCATCTTAAATGTGTTTTTATCATGGTGCAATAATCTATTGAAGTCTTTACTGGCTCTTTGTACAGGAAAGATGAAAATACAAAGCAGTTTGTAGTTTCTCCAAGGCTTTCTCCTTTGTTTTAGTGACCAGCCCTTTGTGTACCTTGTTATGTTCCATGTACAGTGCCACTGAGAGTTAGACTTAAAGGAGTAGGATTTTCCTGTCTCAAAGGGGAAAGATCTGTGGAAAAAAAGAAAAAGAAATTGTGCAAGTCTTGTTCATAATTAGAGATATATAAACAAAAAAGCCATCTTGAATCTTTCAGGCCAGAATGTAGGCATCCTCAGGTCTGTTTTGAGCTAAAGAGATTGACTTTTATGGGGAGGTTGTTGTGGTTTGCATGAATACCTGGAGAAACTGAACTTGTGTGAAATGGAAAGATGCGAGGAGCTGATGTTCAGCCTGAGGAGAGCCTGCCTGGTGCTTGCGGCACAGTGCCACCAATAGTGAGTTTTGGTTGTGCC